CTCCAAAGAAGGAGCCTCCACCACACTCTAGGGCAGAGAGTTCCCCTGCTGAACAGCTCTCACAGTTAGGAAGTTCTTCCTCATGTCCAGGTGGAATCTCCTTTTGTGTAGTTTGAAACCATTGTTCTATTGTCCTAGTCTCCAGGGCAGCAGAAAGCAAGCTTGATCTTTCCTCCCTATGCTGTCCCCTAACATATTTATACATGGCCATCATGTCTCCTTTCAGCCTTCTCTTCTTCAGGCTAAACATGCCCAGTTCTTTAAGCCGCTCCTCAAAGGGCTTGTTCTCCAGACCTTTGATCATTTTAGTCACTCTCCTCTGGAGGAAAACTAATCACAGGCACTATATAAATGTAGCAACAAAGTTGGCTAGAATTCCTAATTGCAGTTACAAATATCTAACTCAAAGTTAGACAATCATAATTCATTTATATTTACAATCCCTAGGTACTCAACAGTGCAAGGAATGTGTAGGGATCGTGAAAGCCTCTGAAGTCTAGCTTACTGTGCAGGAACTGGTGAGAGATATTGGGGCCTGTTCTCCATTCAACTAGGATGAAATCAGACTGATGTTTCCACCCCATCATGCAGATGATCAAAGGGATGGGGAGTAACTATAATAGAGATTAAGCTTCTGACTACCAGAGATCATTTGGAAAGGTTGGGCACGTAAGTTGGATGCATCCCAGTTGACGGGAGAATAGTCCACTGGCACTTGAAGTGGCTGCTGCCCAGTATGTAAAGATGGGAGTGGGTCAGGTCAGGGCACACTACTTAGCTATGTAACTATGTAGCTAATTAGTTGATCTAAAATACTGGCCAATGATGCTTCTGCTGATATCATTCCTCACAGGTAATCATATGTATATGCCTAGCTGCATATGCTTGAAAAAGTGGGTTTTTACCCAGTATCCACCAGACTGGCTATTATGGCAGACATATTGGGGGCTGAATGATTACTAAAAGCATATGATAAAATGAAAAAAACTCTAAGAGTTCCAAAACCTATTGGCAGCGTGAGAAAATAGATATGCCAAACTCTTCTTCACCATACCAAAAAGAAGGTTTCAACGGAGTATGGAATTGCAGCAGAGCTAGGGAGTGTGCAGATCTTCAAATGGTATATGGAAGGACATCCTCTCAAGAAATGCATGCAGTGTAGTAGCATCCATTATAAACATACCCAGTGCATATTCAGTTACCACATTCTTTATAAACATGCCCAGTGCAGATTTGTGAGATCAGATACAACCCAACAGAATCACAAAATTAATCTTCACGATCTGCATCTCACAGTTGAAAGATCTGACTGATTTCTCTTGCTTCTTTAGGCAGGCATTTTCAAACATCCCATATAGATTGAAAAACAACAAAACCGAGACTTAATTTCACCACATTGTGATTGACAGTAAAGGATATTAGTACACACCTGAATCTTAAGAGTCAAATCCATTTCTCCTAGTAACAGAATGAGTTAACTTCAGACAAATTCACCAATACTAAGAGAATCAAGGATTAGTGAACGGACAAGACACAGCTGCTTTCTTGACAGTAGAACTAACAACATGTCACACTTGTCTAGAAGATTTAGTGATGGTCACCCTTCCCTTCATTTGCAATTTTAAAAATGGAAGAGATAAGACAGTTCTACAGTGCAAACAAGCATGCTATACAATGCATGTGACAATTTGCACTAAATGTAGAGATGTGATAGGCTACAAGTAGGAGTAAGCAGAAGTCAAGCTGCAGACAAGTTCAACAGACCAGATATGGTATTCCAATAAGAATTCTTTGCAATATTTCAGAGTTGGGTTTTTTCTAAAATACAACTGAATTACAGCTTAATCGGAGGAAGAGGGCACAGATAAAGCAGATTACCTGTGCAGCCTGATCCAACTTGCTCCCTCTGTTCCTATGGCAATTATCACCCAATGATCTATAGGTATGAGCCTTAGGGATTTGTATATTTTTATATACTTGCTGCATTTATGCTTGGATTGACCTTGGAAGGAGTTATATTGTTATGAGCAGAATACAAGCTTGGTATAGCCAATTGGTAATCCTGGACTTCAACCCCCATCACACTGTATCATTCGGTCACTGAGCAGGGATTTGAACCCTGGCATTCAGAGTTATAGTCCAATGCTCAAATCACTATATCATTCTGCCTTTGGAAAATCAGATGCTATTTATTTAAAAATAATAATTGTTCACATGAAATCAATTCTGATAAGTCATATCTATCTATTTCATTTTACAGGGATATCCAAACCAATTTATGACTTGTGGGGGGTGGGTGCCATTTACAGAAGGTTTGTAAGTGGTTTGTTTTTGTTGTATGCCTACAAGCAATTGTTTGAGCTAATTACAGCTTTGTGTAGCTAAATCCATAGACAACAGTTACAGCTGTTACTTCACTTGTAAAGGGCATATGGAAAACAACAGCAGGCAAGCAATTCTAAGCAGATCTCACAATGTAAAATCATGTTTTGGGTCCAAACTGCACACATACACATCATGTGTCTATGTTTTTCTGCATCTTTCTCTCTCCCTCCAAATGGTGCTTATGACACAACAAATAGAAACAGGTGTTTAATATATCCAAACTGGAAGAATCTACATCATGGAATTAATGCCATTTGGCAACACTAACTGCTGTGTCTCAAAGCTATGGAATCCTGGCAGTTTTAGTTTTACAAGGACTTTAGATTTCTCTGCTGAACAGTGCTGGTGCACTACAACTACAACTACAACTTCCAGGATTTTACAGCATTGAGCCATGGCAGTTAAAGTGGCATCAAACTGCATTCATTCTACAGTGTAATGCACCCTCCGTTATGTTTTATTTACTAGGCCTGTGCGGTTTCGTTTGTTAATTCGTTAATTCGTTAAACATTCGTTAATTTTCGCATATACGAAACGACAACAAAACATATTCCCAAACCCGGAAGGGTTTATAAATATCGAAACGGCGACCCCCACAGTTTTAACGAGCTTTCGCCCGTTTCGTAAATGGGGCGGGCGGGCGGGCGAAGGGGCGGCGCGAGCGCGCACCCAGTGAGCCAAGCCCCGACCCTGCCTGTTGGGCGCGAGCGCAACCGGCTCCCGATTGACTAACTGCCCGATTCACAGAATGGTATTATACGTACACTCATAGGCGCATGGAGACAGAGCCGGCGCTGCAGGAATCCCCTCCCCGGCTCCTGCGCTCCTGCGCTCCGGCTCCTGCGCCCTCCTCCTCCTCCTCCTCCTCCTCCTCCTCCTCCTGGCACTTCCTGCAACACAGCTGCGGAGGCCGGTTGTCTCTTTAAGGCGCCTTTCCTCCCAGCTGTGTTGCTGGGAGAGAGAGGTGCCTTAAAGAGACAACCGGCCTCCGCAGCTGTGTTGCAGGAAGTGCCAGGAGGAGGAGGAGGAGGAGGAGGAGGAGGGCGCAGGTGCCGGAGCCGGAGCGCAGGAGCCGGAGCGCAGGAGCCGGGGAGGGGATTCCTGCAGCGCCGGCTCTGTCTCCATGCGCCTATGAGCTCAGTGTACGTATAATACCATTCTGTGAATCGGGCAGTTAGTCAAGAGATGGGTCCGGGGAGGGGATTCCTGCAGCGCCATGTGAAAATATTCTAAAATGCAAAAGAATGTTTACTATCAAGTAACCCTGATGAAATGAATCCTGGATTGATAAGAAACTTTGCAGTTATACGAATAACGAAGCTTGTTTTACGCATGCGCGGGGGTCCGCCATCTTTACAAAATGTTTTGTAAATATTTACAAAATTTCGTAAATATCAAAACTTTTTTTTGGAAAATTTTGTAATTATTTTAAATATCGAAACAAAAAAACACCCCAATTACAAATCGATTTTAGAAACAAATTTTTTCTTGATCAAACAGGCCTATTATTTACCACCCATGTCAAGATTTTGTTTCGTATTGGTTGAAGGTAACTTGATAGCACATATACACACATACATACTCATACATACACAGACCAATAAAAAAAACCTAGAATTTGATACACAAGCCATCCACAATTTCCTTATTATGAATGTCTCCTTATTATAAAAATGTGCAATGCAAAGTCTTTCATAATTGCAATTTCAAACAAATAATAAATCTGGATTGCTGTGAGTTTTCTGAGCTGTATGGTCATGTTCCACAAGCATTATCTCCTGATGTTTCCACATCTGGAATGCCCAGGGTGGGAGAAAGAACTCTTGTCTGTTTGAGGCAGGTGTGAATGTTGCAACTGATCACCTTGATTAGCACTGAATAGCCTTGCAGCTTCAAGGTTTGGCTGCTTCCTGCCTGGGAGAATCTCAAATAATATGCTGTGTCCAAGTTGATTCATCAAGTGCTCTGCTATGGCTGACTTCTCTGGCTGAATTAGTCTGCAGTGCCTTTCATTGTCCTTGATTCGTGTTTGGGCCAGCTAATCACCTCCCAACAAAGGATTCCACCAGGCAGGAAGCAGCCAAGCCTTGAAGTTGCAAGGCCATTCAGTGCTAATCAAGGTGATTAATTGCAACATTCACAATTGCATCAAACAGGCAAGATTTCTTTCTCCCACACTGGATATTCTGCAGATATATAAACTTGCCTTGTTTCCAACAAACCTCACAATCTCTGAGTATGCCTGCCATACAGCCCAGAAAACTCACAGCAACCCAGTGATTCCGGCCATGAAAGCCTTTGACAGCACAAAGAACAAACTGAAAACCAGGCAGATTAGAATGCTGCTATGTACATATTTTCCCTTCAAGGGTTTTAAGGGAGATTTATAGTGGCAATCCAAAACATAACTAAGCTTGAGACAAGAGCCACAAATTCAATTCCCCCTTCACTCCATTTAACATACACCGATTGAAGGATTGGGGAAATCAAATTGTAGCCAGAAGCAAATCAGTGTTTGAGGAGTATACGCACAAGACAGACATTACTAGCATTAAAAAGTTTGGAACATTTTCATTAAAAAACCAGCCCTTACGAAATTGAGCGAAGTCCATTACCTGTTATGCCATTTGATTCCTTTTGAAGATTACAATACCACAGCCTGTTTACTGGATCACATCCTTCCCGTATAGATAGCAAAGCATACTGCCCATCATCAGATATCTAAAATATATAAAAATTGGTGCAACATGAATAGTGAGGTCTTCCAAACAAAAAAGTTATTCATGTTACTCAAATATCTTTTCCTATTTTCCCAGAAAAGCATTTTGTGAGCAAAAATCATTAGACAAGTGTGTCACATCAAAGTACTTAACACTGATGGTTACTGGTGGATTTTATGTTTGAGTTACAAGAATGGAATGGGTCATTTGTCATTCAAAGTCCATTCCATATTTGGGGTAATAACTCTGATAAAACAGAGTCACCTGCAGCTTGGGGCAGAGAAAAAAGCAGCCACTATGTTATGGACAGTGATGGCCAACTGAAATTGTTGTGCTAAATGCAAAGTGACAGTAAACCATGTCAAAAATTACACTGACAAATCTTTACTGAAAATAATCACTCTACAGAAAAGCATTCCAAATTAATTATAATCACTCCATGCAGACTCTTCAAAGATCAACAAAGTACGGATGTTTTAAAATTCTGTTTGAAATTTGTTCCACTTCTTTCTTACGCAAATATAAAGTGAGAATAGTGCAGGCAGAATGATCATTATGGACTTCAATAGATGTGTGTATTTACGTGCATGGGGGTGTGGCCTTCACTCAGTCACTTCTAAGCCATGAATTTCACATTTGCATTCTATTAGTACTTATTTGTCGGGCCTTTCCACACAGCAAACTATCTAAAGAACTTAACTACGGCCAAATATTTCTGCCTATTTTCCAAAGCAAGGTGCAATGTGCTCCCATCTGAAATGCTGTGTGGGAGATTTGCAGGTACCCCATATAATGAAAGACTCTGCCCATGTAACAAACAGGAAGTAGAATACATCTACCACAATCTACTGTGATGCAGTTTTTATGAACAGGCTCGAGCACACATAATCAACCTCCTACTAAGAAACTTACCAGCAAGTCCAGTGAAAATGTATGTGAAGTTTCTACTTTAGTGACAACTTTCCCCACGTGACCTTGGTGGTTGCCAAGTTTCTTTCTGAGGCAATCAGGATTAGACAATTCCCAATTTTAGACACAGGCTGCACCACTTTGGCACTTCTTGTAGTCTTTTACCTATGTTTTTAGCCAACATGTATTTCAAGCAATTTATAATAATAATAAAATGTTATTCGTTCATTTGTTTGTTTTAGTACTGTATTTTAATCTTTTTAGCATGCATTTTAATATTTGCATTTTTCACTAATGCATTTTATGGTGACACGTTATAACTGTGTTGTGCACTGCCTCAAGCCATGAGGAAAGGCAGGTAACAAACAAAACAATCGTCATAATCATTACCTCCTTGGCTATAGTACTTTTTAAAAAATCTTCCTTTGTAGCTTGGAGGGAAAACTCAATGGGTTAACAACATGGGAAAGCAAGGAATTTAAAACTCTCCCTCAAACTCTTTGCAATTGCTATAAAATGAACCTACCTCACAATTGCTATCTGCATTTTCAAAGGGCAGGAAGCAACTCCACAGCTGCGTTTTGCTCATCACCCTACACTTTCTATTCTTTCTACTGAGCAGCAGTCGATATCCATGGTTTCTCAGACCTGCCTGGAGTTGTGCCTAAGTCCTTCTCTGAAGAAACTATCTCATTTACCACATGGAGCAAAAGCGGTTTGTCCACTTTAAAAAATCTCAAAGAAGTGATATCCCTTTGTGGAAATGACTAAGACATTTTGCATCCAGCTTTTAAGAGTTCATTTAGAGCATAAATTCTGAATTTATATTGCCTTCAATTTATCAAAGTAAAATAACTCTTTGAAATGTTTTCCCCTGTTGGAAGAATGGTAAACAACCAGTGATTCTGAGCCCATTTAATAAGCATTAACTTCAACAGCTCTCTCTGGATAGGCAGGGAGTTGAGAATAGTTTGCTAAATCCAATTCCCTGACACATGTTACTGGTGGGGTGCCAATTAAGCCTTCCTCGCTATAGCTGTCTTTATAGCAATGCACTTGGAAATCCAAAGAAGTTTAGGAGTATCATGGGAAAATATTATTGACTGCTGAATTCCCATTTTTGGATATTTCATGGGAGACAAACAAAGGCTGAATGATCATATATTTTATTTTTTTGCTTGAGTGAATATGCGCGCAAATACATCCATACACAAAAAGGAGCTATTTATTTGCCCATGTTTTTTTGCGTTTCGTAATTGCCAAGTTTTTAAAACTTCAAAGATGCATTCTAAACAAGACCACAGCATTTATATTTTGATTGCTTTCATTGTGAAAATGGCTGAGGGCAGACAGCACTCCTCTCTAAGTATTCCTGACACGCTTATAGTATACTGGGGGGAAAAAGAACTTGGCGGCAAACAGCAACATCTAGAGCACACATTTTGCAACAGAAATCTCACCAAGTCCTATTTAACTCCATACAACCAAATTGACATTCTACAGCACCCTCTACTGGGAACTACCTTAATTTTTTTCTATCCTTCCAGCATAAATTGTTACAGAATGCAGTCCAACCCCCCTGCCAAGCAGCAGGAAAATCGCATTATAGGAGGAAAAAAGAGGGTCACAATTGTTCTGTTTATAGTTATAAACAATGCAAGTATATACAGATATACTGTAGACTTTACTAAGAAGAAGGAAGGTCGAAGATAAAGCTTGGCGAGAAACACCAAATACAAAGGATATGAAAAAAGTTAATCAGCTGCTCTTGACCCTGAATGTAAAATGTTGAAAGTAAATGTTTTCTTTTTAAAAGGCACATGAAAGCAAGACAATGTCCTTACCAAATACAAATGACAAACAAAAGGGTTAGAGACAAAAAAAATTGCAAAGTACAACCTTTGGTCCACATTTGTTTTTATCAGCTTTTAAAAAATTATATTGCATATTTGATTGATGTGCTGTTTATATTTTCAAAGCATGGAAAAATGGAGGGAAGATGGGGACATGAGCACTGCCAGCTGTACTCTTGACTGTCCCATGTCCATGGAAAGAGAAATGGAACATTGAGTTTCCCAGCTTCTGCAAAAGTCTGCCTTCAGACAAGATATATCTTACCTCAACTCCACCCATCCATTTTGGCTCATGAGGAAATTCAGCGCACAAAACATCCTTTGACTGGTCAGTTCCTAGCACATGATAGTATAATTTCTGGTGTAAGTTGGTTGACGTTTCAGTGCCTGGAACAAAAAAGGGATCAAACCACATGTATGTTGTCAATCAATTTTTTTTCTTAGTGGTTCTAACAAATTACATGGAAACCAAATTTACATTCTACTTATTAGGACAGATGACAAAACATTTAATTATACTAATGCACCACCAGAAATACCAGTTCTCATTGCAGAGAAGTTGGGTGTGCCTTATCTGAAATACATTGAACCAAAAGTATGTCAGATTTTTTTTCCAGTATATACATAATGAGATATCTTGAAGATGTAACCCAGGTCTAAACACACAATTTATTTATGTTTCATATACACTTTATATACATAGCCTGAAGGTAATTGTATAAGGTAAAGGTAAATGTTTCTCCAACATTAAGCCTAGTCATGTTCGACTCTGGGGGGTGATGCTCATCTCCATTTCTAAGTCAAAGAGCCAACGTTGTCCGTAGACACTTCCAAGGTCATATGGCCAGCATAGCTGCATGGAACATCGTTACCCCCCCCCCCCAAGTGGTACATATTGATCTACTCACATTTGCATGTTTTTGAACTGCTAGGTTGGCAGAAGAAGGTTCCAACAGCGGGGGCTCACCACGTTCCACAGATTTGAACTCCCAACCTTTCAGTCAGCAAGTTCAGCAGTTCAGCGGTTTAACCCGCTGAGCCACCAGAAGGCCATGGTAATTGTATGGTAATGTTAATTGTATACACAATTGTAACTGTATACACAATGTTTTTTTAAACATGAAACAAAGTTTGTGTACGTTGAAACATCAGAAAGGTATCACTATCTCTGGCACATATGTGGACAATTTGGAATTTTTTTAATATTTCAGATTTTGGAATTCTGCATAAGGGATACTCAATCTGTATACACAAGGACATTTTTAATTTTAAGGCCCTTTTTCTTTTTTTAAAAAGTACGTTATGCATATCTGGTTCATACTGGACTAATCAATAAACAGATCTGTTCATACTGTTTGTTAGACACTCTCATATTTTTATTATTAAAGTTGGTGCTGTGTTTTACATTCTGCTTGTCTTCTAGAGCAAAATCTAAGACAGTTTATAACATTAATTAAAACACAGTATATCAGAAAACCATAAATAATATTAAAGACAATTTACTGAAAAACTTCCAAAGTTAGATGAAGCATTGATTTAAAACAGTTTAAAACAGCTCAAAATGTAACATGAAGGGATGGAGTACTGCAACTCCATGAAAAGTTTGTTTGCCAGTAACCAGTTAATGTTCAAAATGATTGCTGGTGGGGGAAAAAGGAGAGAAGACACCAACTGACTTTCTCAGATGGCTTCAAAACTCTCAAAGAAAGCTTGCTGTTGTTTTCTCTATGTAATTTTTCCATGCTTTGCTTTCAGCAGGAGAGAAAACACAAACTTGTACAATGGGATATACCTTCAGGGACATCAGCTAGAATTTCAGACACTTTGGTGATTTTCACAAAAGGAGCAAAGATAGCAAGGTGAGCATGCAGGATGAAAAATATCTAGAGCAAAAAAAAAAAAAAGCCGAGGACTATGGAAGCAAAGCTTTGGAAAAGGTACTTTCTCTGACTATCAGCTCCTAAATACACAACCCAGCAGAGACTCCACAATTTTTTTTATCTAAAAAGATACCTCTGCCAAGTGTGGATGGGAGATGGGATATCCAGCTGTTGAGAGTGATCTGAGCAATGAAAAACAGAAACCAGAGGATGGTAGATGAGGGAGCGAGAGGTCCATGGACACATGATATCTGCTTATGAATGAGTGTTGTGTATCACTCACCATCACTTTTGCCATCTTGCTTTGGATAGGAGTTGTAGAACATGCCTTTTCCATCATGGGTCCAAGCCATACAACTAAATTTTACCATTTCCAATGTGTCTGGAAGTTCTTCATGACCATCCACCTTCATGAATTTGATGGTTACCCAGTCTGACCCACTAGAACTCAGACCATAGGCAAAATATTCGCCATCTTCGCTGAATGCATAACCTGGTAATTTAAAATACATGATGCATGAACAGTTCACATTAAAAAAGGAATTAAACATAAAACATAAACATAAGGGATGGGTAAGTTATGACAGCTACTAAAATGCATTGCAGCCCACATCAAAACACATCGACCCCTCTCAAAAAACAAAAACAAAAAACCCTCGAGAAGTGGCCCTGGTTTTTCAAAAGAATCACCAGTCTTGCATGTTTCCAGGAACAGAATTTTAGCTTTGAGACAAAAATAAATTTTCCCCAGCCAAAGGTACTTGGGAAGGTAGAGGTGCAGATTTGAAATTAGATACAAAAACAATTGCGGGGACTGTATGAAGCATGAAGCTACACAGTTCCAACTCTTCTTAATACATACATCTTTCATAATCACTATTAAAATCATGTCATCCACAATTGTAATCCGGGGCTGTTCCAAGCATCACAGCACATATTTCATAGTTATTACTGCACTGTAGTTAATCTACAAAGACTTGACCTCAGAACCAGATTTTCACTTTCCTTCTGAAGGCCAGGAGGGAGGGAGCTACTCTAATATCACTGGGGAGGGAGTTCCACAGCCGAGAGGTCACCACTCAGAAGGTCCTATCTCTTGTTCCCACCAGACGCACCTGCGAAGGTGGCTGGACTGAGAGAAGGTCTCTCCCTATGATCTATGATCTCCTAGGTGGTTCATATGGGGAGATACCTTTGGACAGGTAGGTTGAACTCAAACCGTTTAGGGTTTTATAGACTAAAGTCAGCACTCTGAATTGTGCTCGGTAGCAAACTGGCAGCCAGTGGAGCTGCTGCAACAGGAGGGTTGTATGTTCCCTGTATACTGCTCTGGTGATCAATCTGGTTGCTGTCCATTGGACTATTTCAAGCTTCCAAACAGTCTTCAAAGGCAATCCAACATAGAGTGCGTTGCAGTAGTCTATTCGGGATGTAATCAGAACGTGGTCTACCGTGGCCAAGTCTGACTTCCCAAGGTATAGGCACAGCTGTACAATGGCTGAATTTTTCATCTTTAGACATCATGACTACAGCTGATTGGAGTTGTGATACTGTAACAGTTGGAAGGCTATAGTTTGTTGTTTAGTCAGGACAGTAGGCTTGAATTTAGATAAATTGCTTGTTGATACGATGTCTGACTTTAAAATGTCCTTTAACCTTTTCCCAACCAAAACTGTTATTGCAACTCCCATTATCCCCTGTCTACATGGCAGATAGGAGTGATAGGAGCTATCTTTCAATAACATCTGGAAATCCAAATTGGGTGAAAACTAAAGAGCACCAGCTGCTATGTAAAATAATATATTGTTGGCCCTCTGTAGCCATGGCTTCTCCATACATAAGGCTGCTGTGGCCCTCGATGAAAATGAGTTTGATACCCATGGCATAATATGTGTGTGTACCTATAACTGCAGTAGATAAATGGTATACAAACATCCAAAATGATACATTATGAAAAATCAGCTTCACTCACCTCGTAAAGCCACAGTACCATCATCAGAAAGCTTATTTGGGTCAAGAAATACTTTGGCTTCAGCTTCCAAGGAATCTTGCACGTATAACACCCGTTGGTTCTGAAGTCCAGAATTATAAAAGTGAAAATACCTAGAGCACACATTTGAAACACAATACATTAAATTGCTTTTAATGCATTTATTTAATTGATTAAATGAAACGGCTGATTGGGGGAAATGCTGGATATCGCAGTCCCAAATACTGAGGCAACCACATCACTAGTATCTGAAGGGGAGCTCAGGATTCAATCACCAGATCACCATTTTCTTTCTTTTTTTTTTAAAAAAAAGGGGGAGGTGGGGAGTTGGGATCAAAACTACCGCTTAACAATTGCTTGATGGAATATTTTTCAGCTTCCTTCTATTCTTCTACTTCTGCTTGTCTATAAACATCTGGACTTACAGAGAACATTTCAACTAAGGAGAGGTGGCACGCACTCTCTGAACGATATGTAGCCCTTCTTTTGACACCTTCTTAGTGCCTCCAGCACCAAAATTGGTGTGAAACTGCTGAAATGGAGTGGAAAATGTAGTGGGAGATAAGCAAACAAATAACTTCTGTATTTCAGTTTTTTTCGTTTCTCTCCCCCCCCCCCCCCCCCCCCAATTGTTTAAGAAAATGCAGGCTGGGGGACTATTTGCAATACCAAAATTGGGCTCTACTTCTGTTTTCTCAATTTTTAAAATAAAAGTCAAGATATCTAAATAGAAGACTTTTGTTTTCACTGCTGTTGAGCAATTCAGAGTTGAAAGGTCTTTCTTGCCTATTGCAACTCATTCTGGAAATCTATCGTGATTTAGTTCTGCTCACTCCTGTTCTCCGAGTTTTCAGCAACCCTCTGAAGTCACTAAATCACTCTATTATCAATTATGCTAGGAATTAAATTCCACTTTTCACTGAATGCATAGTTATGTATAACTTATTTCTTTCTACCCCTAGCCCAGTGGTTCTCAACCTGTGGGTCCCCAGGTGTTTTGGCCTACAACTTCCGGAAATACCAGCTATTAGGATATCTGGGTGTTGAAGGCCAAAACATCTCGGGATCCACAGATTGAGAACCACTGCCATAGGCATTCAGAACTGAGCCTCCTCTCAATGTGAGTACAATTCTTAGGGGAACATTTTCTAAGCATTCAGTCCTACTCAGGTCAGGGAAAAACAGAACATCCTTCCTAGCCTCTTGAACAGAATTCCTGTTAAGGTATAATTTAAGTGAAATGGTAAAGAAAGAAAAGCATGCAGGTTGGCTCCAGGAGTCATGAGATACAAGGTTGATGCTGTCAGCAGATATTCCATAAACTACTTATCTCCCCACTTTCAGAATTCTGACCCATGAATGGAAAGGCAACAACAACCTCCAAAGTCATCAAGGCAATGATATCTTCTATTACTGCATGTTCTAGCTCAGGGATCCTCAAACTTTTTAAACAGAGGGCCAGGTCACAGTCCCTCAAACTGTAGGAGGGCTGGATTATAATTTGAAAAATACACGAATGAATTCCTATGCACACTGCACATATTTTGTTTGTAGTGCAAAAAAATTACTTTAAAACAATACAATAATTAAAATGAAGAACAATTTTAACAAATATAAACTTATTAGTATTTCAATGGGAAGTGTGGGCCTGCTTTTGGCTGATGAGATAGGATTGTTGTTGTTGTTGTTGTTGTTGTTGTGTGCTTTCAAGTCGTTTTAGACATAGCTTGACCCTGAGTGAGGGCCGGGTATATGACCTTGGAGGGTCGTATGCGCTCCCCGGGTTTTAGTTTGAGGAGCTCTGTTCTAGTCGGTAGATTTGTGCACAGATCCATTTTAGCCATTTTCCTTTGGCTTCTATGGACAGCCATAACAGCAAGGGCTCAGCTGCCATGTTTTTTCCCCTCCGAAATGGCCCATGTGGCTACCGAGCACAGTTTCTTCCCTTCTATTTGGAAGCACATGGCACATGCTTCCTTAACTCTGTTCCTCAAACTCGGTTCAATGAAAGGAAGAAAGGAAAGGATTCCAGGAATGGAAAGGGGAGTCTTATAAGTTCCCCATTGTTGCCAATGGACCAGGTCTTTCCAGATCTTTCAGCTACCTAGCTGAAAACAGATTTTTCCATTAGACGATTTTCAGGAAGCTCCTGAAAATGAATCTGGATACCCAACGAAATTCAGACATCAAAAACGGATCTCCCTCCAGCCAAATTGCACAAGCCTACTAATCAGTCAAATGAAAGTACAGTGGAATATCTGTATTGCCCCCCCCCCCATTTTTATTTAATTGATTTATTGCATATATGTCCCACCTTTATCTCAAAGTGAGGTTCAGTGTCAGTTACAACTATTTTTTTTAATCTTGGTAAGGTAGCAATTTTTCTAACTTGAGATTTAATTGGCAGACACACCAAATCTCTGTGTGTGTATACAATAGGACCCTTGCACCCATGGGACTGGTATCTGAGGTTTCATTTACTTGTGTCCAACAAAATATGTCCAGTGTAAGATTTTTATGTGCTCCAGGAGATTCTATTGGGTGCTTCTGCTGAAAGTTACTATACAGTTGTTCTCGAAAACCTAGCATTTTTTGGGTCTTCCTATGGTAAATTTTAGCATAAGTCATTCATTTTGATAGGGTTTGCTACTATTCATGGTTTTCTGTTTCCATGGTAAGTTCAGGTATGTATGTCCTGCAGATGTGTGTGTGTGTGTGTATTCTGAATGCAGAAATCTCTTTGAGAAGGTTCAGAATGCAAATTCATGATCCCCAGAAACAAATTGTAACTAGCATCAGGTAGTTTTCGATCATAATCTATAACAGACACACATACAAAGTAACAGAATACCTTTTTCCTTTCTTGAAATGGCAACTGTATTTGGGATAGTCATAGAGTTCAGTCATTCGTTCCTTAAATAGACCACGTGTTGGGCATTGCTCAAGAAATGGCACTGTTATCTTATTTTGTGCCTCCACAAAAGCCTAGAAGAGAGGAAATGAATCATACTAGAATACAGTAATTAGAAGCAACAAGGGGTCCCTATTTAAGAGAGAAAGTTATGCCAATAATTGGTTGTTTTTTCATAATTACATTCTCAAAGAAGAACGGAATGTACCCACTTGCATTACATCAACAATCCTGCAACAAGGATCATTAAGGAATAATGTCAAGTTAATTAAGTATCAGATGACTACCAAAAATTATATCAGTGTCTTGATAATATCAGGATGGTCTTATGAGTAAGGTAGAGACCTACTTTTCAGGACAAAGTAACATACTGGCTAACTTTTGCCATTACTGAACTTTAAAGGTTCTGCTATTTTTAATCAAAATTTTAAATAATTCTGAGTCCATTTTCATAGGATTGGGATGAAAACCCCAATGGATACAGCTGGGTTTTCTTAGCACCAGGTAGAAGACATATTTCAGTTAACAAAGTCACTGACTCTTGTTAACAAAGGCTTTTTATGTTAGCAGAGACATCTTTTCCTCCTATTCCTTCTCTCTCTAGATAAACGATTTTGAGCTGCATCAGAATTGGATGCAGGGTGAAGGAGTGTGACATGTTGCAGCAGCATATTTACAACAAACATCACAATAAAGCTTGAGCAGGGAGGGAATGGCATTCTCTTCTTGGTAATCCTGCTTTAGCGGTGTGTGCTTCCCTACAACAGGCAAGTTATACAGAAGCTTCTCCCAGAATCCCTCATTGAACATGCTTGAACAGCAAAACAGAGAGAAAAGGAGACAATAGATAAGCCTGCCTCCCCATCTATACCCATCATGTTAAAACAACATATATCTGTAAGTTTTCATCAAAATGAAAATCACAGTGAAACTGGATGCTGGAGAAAGAAAAAAATCATCACTGGATGCATTTTGGAATAAAGCTTCTAAATGGTCTCTATATAAGGTTCATGTTTTTATGACTTACGGATGTGCACATACTTTTTAAAGTTTTGAATAAAACACTGAAACATGTTGAACTGTGTTTCTTTTTTGTGGTTTAGGAACCTATCCCCGTTCTTTACAATTTATTTCTGCCTTTGGTATTGAATTTATGTTAAAAAAAAAAACCCAAACACGCAGTTAACTGTGTTACACCTATATTGTAGTTTTGAGACTGATTCTTTCAGAATGAGAAATGATTCTATGATTCTAAATGAGTCTTGCCTAAGCAGTCAATCTCTTTTGGCAGATAAGCCTACAGTATCAGCTTGGTTTTCACATACCACATCAAATAACCCTCCTGAATGGGATACACAGATGTAGGTCATGTTTTTTACCATTTGTTCACTGCATGAACTGAACAAATAAAAAATGGTTAAAGAGCCTCAAGAGATCTCATTTTTTCCTTGTCCTAATTAACATTACATGCAATTTTTGTATAAGCAGATAAAAATAAAAATAGTTTCAGCCATGACGAAGGAGAGACCATGAAATTTGAAAAGTTATCACAACAAGGTAATGCTCTTTGGAAGGCTACATGAAAATATAAGGCTTGAAAAATGATCTGGCATAGTAGTTATTTAAGGCTATGCAAAAGGAAAGTGGCAGTGATCACAACAAGATTATGCATTAGTCTAAGCTACCTATGCTATGGAAGAAAACTCCACTGGTCCACTGGGGTTTTCATCCAAATCCTATGAAAATTTACTCAGAATAGCTCACTGAATTTAATAGTGATTACTCCTAAATCACCATATGATGGAACATGATACATTATGGCAGATTGTAAGAAACCGCTTAGCTCAGTGGTTCTGAACCTGTGGGTCCCCAGATGTTTTGGCCTTCAACTCCCAGAAATCCTAACAGCTAATAAACTGGCTGGGATTTCTGGGAGTTGTAGGCCAAAACATCTGGGGACCCACGCACTGAGAACCACCGGTTAGCTGAAATAAGTATGAACGAATAGGTTAGGAGAAGACATAGCTACTCCTATAAAACGAATCAGCATTTTTCTAAACTCTAATAAATTCTAATAATCAATTTCTCATAAGAGCCCCCCGAGAGGATAATACTGTTCTGGTTTAAGACTTCAACTGAAGTAATGGGAAACAACTATGGTAATTTCAAATTATTATGCACCACAGAAAATGTCAATCAGAGAACTGAAAGTAACCAACCAAACTTTTCATGCTTTTAGACAGAAGTATTAATGGCACAGAGAGTGTTGCCTAGTGGCTTCAGAAGTGTAGTATGACTCTGGAAATTGGGATTCAAATCCCTACTGGACCATGGAAACCCACTGGGTGACCTTGGGCAAGTCAAACATTTTCAGCCCCAGAAAATCTTGGAATAAGTTCACCTCAGGGTTGTTGTAGGTGAGAAATGACTTGGGAGACACAAACAACAAATTAATGGTATCAGGGTTCATTTTAAGCAAACTACACACAATGTGCATTGTCATTAGAGCAAGATTTCCACTCAGGCCAATTACAGACCCTGTCTCAAAACTCATGCATATCCCATCCATGTTTTTGAACTCATCAAAACAGACTAAAATGTTTTTAGAGAGTGTAGTTATAGCTGTTGTCATGCCAGTTATAATAAACACGAAGGACCTATCATCAAAAAAGTTTGCAAACTTGCTTTACATCTAGATTAGGAGAAATATGTTAGTTTATATTGGCTTACACAGCATGTTAAAAATAAAACACTAAGGCAGGAAGTATTTAGGTGTGAAATCCGAGATCACACCCATTTAAACCATGGTTATCACATAATTGCTATAATGACAAAATTATGAGTCTAAATTCAATTGTTAGTCTCAACTAGAGTTGATCTACTGAATTTGTTTATTTTCTGAAACAATACTATGAATATTTAAATATCATGCATATTTATTTTGTTAATTGCTTATACAATGGGGACCACACTCCTTTCCATTGTGAAATGATTTTTCAGAAACAACTCACTGCCTCTTCCAGGTATTTTCAACTGAACTGTTTTACAACACAAGCCTTCAAGATTACAGAAATTAAATTACATCCGTTCAACCTATTACACTTCAACAACTGATGACATTAGGGAGAGTTAGCTTTCAACACTTCTCAACTTGCTGGAAGCATCTGGGTGTGCTTTTATGAAAGTTTTCTTTGCCCAATTAGTAATTTGAGTATATTGAAATTTAATATCTCACCTAGGGAAAAGGACGTAACAACACAGCAGATTACCTCTGTTGCAGAGACAAATCAGGAGGTGAAAAATGAAGGTCTATGTAGTGTTTGCACATCTGATGTAAGGCTGGATCTACACTGCCATATAATGCAGCATCAGAATGCTGATTAACTGCATTGAACTGGATTATATGACAATATAGACTCATATAATCCAGTTAATCTGCATTCTGAAACAAACAAGTGTATATGGGGTCTAAGTGTCATAACCAAGAATCATAACAGCATACAAATAATTTTCTTGGTCAAGGAATCAAAATGGGATACAAAATATCCTGATACTGTATTGTTGTGTATCTTCAGGTTACATCTGACTTATGGCAACTCTATGGCAAATCTATCACAGTGGGCTGAGTGTGTGGTTTATCCAAGGTCGTCCAATGGGTTTCCATGGCCAAACAGCAATTCGAACCCCCCAGAGTCACAGTCCAGTGCTTAAACCATTATATCACACTGGCTCTTCTGATACTGCCTGAAGCAATATTCACTGGCTGTTCTCAAATGCGTAGAAAAGAACTGAAGCCTAGAAATTCCATAAATAACAGAGGCTTTCCGCTTGATATCCTGGCCCTTTCTCACAGGTGAGTTCTTTGTTTGATTGCTCTGTCCAAGATTTTTAAAAAGTAGGACTCGCTGCCTTAGCCTCCACAATAATACTCACAGCCATATATCAAATATGTACTGTACACAATAACTGTTCTGTCCCTACCACTTCACCACCAAAATTCAAGGAAACTCATTTTCTGAACTTCCTTCTTGGCAGTTGGGAATGATGCCCATGCTGTTGATTTTCCTCATCTAGAACTATATTCCTGTTTCATCCATACTAACATGCCAATATACTTTGGCTATACTGAAAGGAGTATCACAGGATCTAGGCACACGTTTTTTCCACTGTTATTTCTCAGTGGTGATCACCAATAACAAGGTACAGGTTGAGCACCCTTATCCAGAAATGCTCCAAAATCCAAATTTGTCCACATGATGGTTCCGCATAAACCATCATGTGCATGAAATCTTTGTTTCACGCAGATGATTATTACAAAATATTGTTCCGCCAAGATAATATATATGAAACAGAAATTATGTTTGCGTTGAGACCTAAATCTGATCTCCAAGATATCTCATTATGTATATGCAAATATTTCAAATCCTGAAATAAAAAATCTTCTGGTCCCAAGCATTTCAAATAAGGGATACTCAACTTGTATATAAAGTATAAATACTCTTCACAGAGCAGACATGAGCTTCTTAGATAGAAAAGCTACTGTGTAGATCCAAGTGGGAAGGAAAAATGTTGATTCCGTCTTTAGAGCTGTATTTTGTTTGTATGGTGAGAAAATGGATCAATTTGGTATGAATTATACCTGTGACCACTCTGCTTTCCTCATGTACCCCATGCCCCTACCCTCTGCTGGAAAGATTCTTCCCAAATTGAAATTCAATCCCAAGTTGAACAGGATTCCTACAGTGAATGTGATGAAGAGTGGAAAAACAAATATATGAAGCTGCCTTAGACCACTGTTCTGTCTGGTTTAATATTATCCATCTATTTTGGCTGGTTGTGAGGATTCTGACACAGATGTTTCTAGTCTGTCAAAATAAAATCAGCATAGGAAGTACCTTTAGATCAGTGGTTCTCAACCTTTTTTTGACTAGGGACCACTTTGACCAGGGACCACTCTGCAACATTACTACCAAAAGGATTGGTCAACTTTAGATTCGGTTTGGCTATTTGGAGTGCTGATTCAGAAAACTGCATTGGACAGACCACATCAGCTCTAGTTTCGGATACAAAACATATGCCATCTAGTACTTGCCATCTGCTCGACCACAGAAAATCATATTTAATAAGCCTCGGCACTATAAGAGGGTTTCACAAGACCAGTTGCTTTCATTGCAACAGTGTAGTAACGGTGAGACCGCGGACTATATTTTAGTTCTTGTAGACCACAGGTTGGGAACTACTGCTTTAGATAAAATTATAGTGGCGGTCCATCTAGCTTAGAACTGGGTTGGATAACTGTAGATTTCCAGCTACAAAACAACTTACAACCACTTCCATCAGTTCTAGCCAATAAAATCAATGGTGAGGGACTATGGAGAGTGGTAAGCTATCTATATATTGATCAATCGGTTGATTGAATCACAATATTTCTGTTATGCTTTGGCACCTGGAGAAGAACGTTTGGCCAACATAAATCTTGGAGCATCAAACTAGAAACTGTAGTTATCCCTGGTCAATATTCTGTTAGACTGGCATTGAATAGTGGTATTAATGCTAGACTCCAGAAGACCAAGTTTTAAATCCCTACTTGGTCATGGAAACCCACTGGGTGACCTTGGGCAAGTCATATTCCTTTAGGTTCCAAGGAAAACAATAGGAAACTATCTCTTAATAAATGTTGCTAAGAAAATCCTGCAATAGGTCATCACCTCAAGGTCAGTGTAGTTCAGAAAGAATCTGAAAACACAGAACGAAGTCTAGTCTAAAGTAGTAAAATTGCACAATGTTTTGAACTTCTCAATTCCAAATTCTAGCTTGCCCCACAATGTTCAAAATTAAAGACTTACCTTTGTTTGTTCACTATCAGGATCCTCTAGCCAGCTATAAGGGTCAGTTACTTTACAGCCATGATAATCGTGCACCTGATTAAAAATAATAAAGATATCATCTTAAAAAATAAAACCATTTACTAAAAAAAAAAAAAAGACCTTAGAGCAGTGGTTCTCAACTGGGGTCCCCAGATGTTTTTGGCCTTCAACTCCCAGAAATCCTAACAGCTGGGAAACTGGCTGGGATTTCTGGGAGTTGTAGGCCAAAAACATCTGGGAACCCCGGTTGAGAACCTTAGAGCCTTAGAGAATATTCTGATTAAAAATGGAAGTTGTCACTAGACTGGCCAATAATTTCATTCAGCTATCTGAAAAGAGTTATTTGATGTATTCCATATCCATGGATTCTGTGTCCACAGATCAAAATTATTATTTTTAATCTGAAAAGGAAACCTCAGTTTTGCCATTTTATCTAAGGGACACCACTTTACTATGACATAGAAAGTAATCAGACTTGAGCATCCAGATTTTGACATTCAGAGGGGGTCCTGAAACCAAACCTCGGTGAATACCAAAGGCACACTGTACATGTTTTTGGAATGATCCCAGTAAACAGGAAGTTTGACATTCATTTTTTTAAAATTTCCATGCTACTTAAAATCCTAGGAGATTAGCAAATCACAGCTATGAATCAAAACTGTAATACACATTATCAACTGTCAGGTTTTTAAAACAACCCCATCACTTGTACTTAGTAATTTTCTACAATGGAACAAACCGCAGAACTTTTGTAAACTGGGATAGTTAGCTCACTCAAGCTTTCTTCTGATACACTGCAAATAACTTATTATACGGCAGTCCTGCACAACCTGTGGTGCTCCAGGTGTACTGGATGTCAGTTTCCAGCATTCCTGACCATTGGACAAGTTGGCTAGGCTTTCTGGGAGTTGGAGTCCCAAACACCTGGAGGCCACTGGTTGTGCAGGACTGCTCTGCAGAGTCTGTTTCATGCTTCCGTAATGGTAACTGTCTGGATCCAACAAACTGGTGTGGAATTATTAGTAGAGAGCTAAATTAAACCCTGAAGATTACACATCTCACATCTTCCAAGTCTATGTCTCCATACAAGAAGGCCAAAAACTATCAACAACAGTTAGTCACTGAAGTTTTGCAACTTAGTACTTCTCTTTTCTGAGAATCTTATTGACAAATAAGCAAGACTACAAGATTCTGAAATGTAAAATGGAGAAAATTATATTAATACCAGTTCTCCATAGAAAGTGAAGAAGAAAAATACTAGGAAGTGAAGAAGAGGATGGCTACAAAAACATCTCAAGGGTTTCTACATAAGCGGTTTTATTAAATGTACTGCCTGGCATGCAGAATTCATGGAACAAACTAGAAGAAGCACCACCATGGTCTCAAGTCGCCATGTCTTGAAGGTGGAAGAGGGTGGCTGACAGGTCAATGGCCCGGCAGCTGGGACTCCTTGCCATCTTCACTGGTGCCCTATGCTTTTTTTGAGCACCTGCATTTCTTAGTATCTGTAAAGTCCTATAACCAATCCCCCGCAAATAGTGAGCGCCCACTGTACAACGTTTGAGCCTTCAAAAGGACTTTGATGGAACAATCTAGCATGCTTCCCCTCTATACCAAAACATCAGTGGTTTAATTTGGCCCTGTATGATGGAGTTTGGAATAGATATATTCTGCTTCTGTTAGTTGTGTTGCTAGGTGTCCTTTGGCCTCCCAATGATAAATACAGTTTCAGTTTAATCTGCTTGTGTGCTAATATGAAGGGAGGAGTCATTGGAAACTGAAAGCAGAATGAATGCCCTGCCCCAGAACTTCCTGGAAATGGCAAAGGAATGGCTGGCATTGAGAGAAAACAGGTGCTAAATGGAGCATCACTTGCACCTAATTCCAAGACTTGCAATGAAGACACTATGTTTCTCTACCTCTTCAGTAAGCATGGCAGTTTCGGAATGGAGTGGAGATATGTACAAATTTTGCACTGGACAGAGAAAGGCTCAGAGGTCAGGAGGAATCAGTAGGATACTGCCTCTGCTGTCCCTTGGCTTTTGCCACCTGAGATGCTTGCCTTAGTAAAGGCCAGGAAGATGTCCTACACCTTGTGATGAAAGGCAGCATAAAGTAGCCTCAATTCAGGTCACATTGCAGGCGAAGCCAGAACCAGCAACACCCAAAGGTGTGCAGATGTGAAGATACAGCAGATGTGAGCTAGTCAGTCGACACTCTGAAGTGAGCCTGAGTGCCTTGCCTATCTGGCTGGGAGGAAACCTTTCTCCATTTCTGAACAAACAGGTTTGTTTGACCTCTGGCCTGCAAAAGAAGATGTAGGTGCCAACACAAGGCTGTGATATCAAGGTTCCCCACCCCCCAATTCTAAATATATATCCATGCAATGCGTGTGTGTGTGTGTGTGTGTGTGTGTGTGTGTCTGCCTCCCGGCCGGATCCACTGTTATTTCAATACACTGCGATGTTTTGGTGTTAAATTCATAAATACAGTAATTACTACATAACATTACTGTGTATTGAACTGCTTTTTCTGTTGATTTGCTGTAAAACATGATGTTTTGGTGCTTAATTTATAAAATCATAGCGTAATTTGACGTTTAATAGGCTTTTCCTTAATCCCTCCTTATTATCCAACAGAGTGTGTGTGTATGTGGGCCACAGCTCTCTGAATCCCACTGTCAATATGACCAATTTAATTCTGACTATAGGATTTCACCAGGAGCTGGAAAGCAAAGTCAAAAAAGTAATTTTCCATACTGATTTATTCTCATCATCAAGCAGCCTCAAACTTCTCCAGATGCAACAGCATAGAAGTAACCACACCATAATGGTCTGCAGCAACTCCCATGTTCTCATCAGCCAGAACACGAATTTAAATACTAATAGTCAAAAGGACTCAAAGATGGTGTGAACCTCGGTACTGTCAATCAATCTAGATAACACCAAAATTATGCAGCGGGGCCTTGGCATACTCTGAGACTTGATTCTAGGATTTCACCGCATGGATATATACAAATCTGTGGATGATCAAGTCCCATGTACAATGGTTTCCATTCTATAAAATAGCAAAATAATGGGTTTTGAATTTTGAAAAAAAAATTGAGTATTTTCAAGCTGTGGATGGAGAATTTGCGAATATGGAGGGCTGACTGTGACCTCAGCACAATTTGATTGTCATTTAGGCACATAGTGTCACAATATCCAGCCTAATAACTCTTCAGTCTCTTATGTCACCACTTGTCATTTTCTATGATTTTATTTTACTATGGTATCTCCTGGACTGGTGAAGGATTCTGGTAGACTTTAAATGTTTTATGTTATGGTGGCATTTGGGTTGGTCCTAAGAAACGTGTAGATTTGAAATCCTTGCAAAGGAAGCATCAGGGAGAGAGATTTGAGTGGCAGAAAAAGGGAAACTCTGGAGAAGGAGAGTGTGTTGAATTAATGCAGCTTGACATCACTTTAATTGCTATGGCTCAATAGTATGGGATTCTGGGAGTTGTCATTTTATAAATTTTCGGCCTTCTCTGCCCAAAAGAGTGGCGCCTCAACAAACTACAAATCCCACGACTACATAGTCTTGAGCCATGGCAGTCCAAGTGATGTCAACCTGCATTTATTCTACAGTGTGTTGTCCCCAGATGTTTTGGCCTTCAACTCCCAGAAATCCTAACAGCTGGTAAACTGACTGGGATTTCTGGGAGTTGTAGGCCAAAATATCTGGGGACCAACAGGTCGAGCACTGGTGTAGATGGTGTGAACCTCGGTACTGCCAATGGGGAGAGAAGAAAGCTGCATCTACACAAGCCATGGGCCAACTTTGGCCCTCCAGGTGTTTTGGACTTCAACTCCCACTATTCCTAACAGCTTACCAGCTGTTAGGAATGAATGGAGTTGAAGTCCAAAACACCTGGAGGGCCAAAGTTGGTAGGCTGTTAGGAATTGTGGGGTCCCCAGATGTTTTGGCCTTCAACTCCTAGAAACCCTAACATCTGGTAAACTGGCTGGGAGTTGTAGGCCAAAACACCTGGAGACCCACAGGTTGAGAACCACTGCTGTAGAATGCATGCAGCTTGACATCATTTGAAATGCCATAGCCCAATGATACACAACCCTGGGATTTATAGTTTGTCAGAGAAGGATAGACACCTTGCAAAACTCCAACTCCCAGGGTGCCATGGCACAGAAGCATGGCAATGAAAGAGGTGTCAAGCTGCATCCATTGAATGCAACCTTCTCCTCCTCCTTCTCCTCTACCCCACTCTAGTTTTCCCTCTCTCACACACTCTCCCCCTCCCTTCTCCTCCTCCTCCACCTCACTCGAGTTTCCCTCTCTCACTCACACTCACAGCTCTCCTTCTGAAGCCTCTCCTGCGTGGATTTCCAAGAGCCACGCGATTCTCAGGAGGAGCAACCCCAAGGCCACCAAACCATGCAAGGTGATCCCAAACCCCAGCTCGGATGATCCTCTTGCACTGAGCCAAGGGAAGGAAAAGGGTGTCGAGATGATGCATTCATTCCCTACAGCGCTGGAGATGGAGGCTGGGTTTCCTTCCCCCGGAATTGCCCTTTGCGAGGGGAGCTGTCCTCAAGGCTGGGCTCTAGGGGGAATCCCCGAAGCGAGGGAGGGAGGGGAGACCCCCCTGGCTGGGCTACTCACGGCCGCCTCGTCGCGGAAGACTTGGGGGTACTGGAAAGCCTGCATGCTGGGTCCGCCGTGCCTGGGGAGCCGGGAAGAGGCAGCGCTGTGCGGAGGGGCGGGAGGCAGGAAGAGGAGGGCCCGGGATGGGCGAGGCCAGCCAAAACCTCTTCCCCTCCACGCCGCTGGAGGCAAGCGAGCGAGCTAGGCAGGGAGGGAGGAAGCAGGCAGGCCAGCCGGGCCGGATCCCGTCCTCCTTCCCTGGCTCCGAGCAGAGGGGCCCGGGCTCCCCCTGCAGCCAGGCGCCCCGCCGAGGAGCTGCAGACACCCTGCGCGAGGAAAGAAGGCCCCAAGCAGCACGCGCCCCATCTGAAGCCCCGTGGCGGACTCCTTCCTGCGGAATTCTGGGGCTTGTAGTTTAGGGGAGGCGCCTCTCGCATGCTCAGCCAGGGAAGCCCCGGGCCTCACTACACTACAAGATCCACGAGTCTACAGGAAGGAGGCAGGCACAGGGTTTCAGATGAGATGTCAGGTGGCGCAATAGGTTAAAGCCTTGTGCCGGCAGGACTGAAGACTGACAAGTCGGAGGTTCGAATCCAGGGAGAGTGCAACTGAGCTACCTCTGTCAGCTCCAGCTCCCCATGCGGGGACATGAGAGAAGCCTCGCTCTTGCAGATTCGTAGAAATATACTGACGTTGAGAAGGGAGGGAGAGTGGGAAAAATATAATCTACACCAGTGTAAATTAGTATAATGTCTTTAATATTTGTTGACTTACTCAGGCTTTATACGTTTAATACTAGGAATATGGCTTGTTGATTTGTTTATATATATGAAAATGCTCTGTGCATAATGAGTACCTTAAAAACAAAAGAACAAATGAACATCATACCAAATTTGGCAACAAAACATCTCACAACACAAGGAGTGACCATCACTCAAAAATTATGATTTTGTAATTTGGGAGTTGTAGGTGCTGGGATTTATAGTTCACCTACAATCAAAGAGCATTCTAAACCCCACCGACAATAGAATTGGACCAAACTAGGCACACAGTTCTCCCATGACCAACAGAAAATACCGGAAGGGTTTGGTGGGCAGTGTCCTTTGGTTTTGGAGTTCTAGTTCACCTACAACCAGAGATCACTGTGGACTCAAACAATGATGGACCTGGACCAAACTTGGCACAAGCACTCAATACGCCCAAATATGAACACAGATGGAGTTTGGGGAAAATAGATCTTGACATTTGGGAGTTGCAGTCACTGGGATTCACAGTTCATCTACAATCAAAGAGCATTCTGAACCCCATGAATGACAGAATCGGGGCAAACTTCCCACACAGAACCCCCATGACCAACAGAAAATACTTAAGGCCATCCAATCCAACTCCCTTCATCAGGGCAAGAAAATGTAATCAGAGCCCTCCTAACAAAGAGCCATCCAGCCATAGATAGATAGATAGATAGATAGATAGATATGATTCACACGCAGAGAGATATAGTATCATAGATTTGAAAGGGACCCTTAAAGAAGGACAATGATATGTTGCATGTTCCAGGGTGGGCAAACCAGACACTCTCCACATCAGCACTGACAAAGAAACAGCAAGAAATACTGGGTTGTTGTTGGTTTTTCCGGGCTATATGGCCATGTTCTGGAGGCATTTTTTCTCCTGACATTTCGCCTGCATCTATGGCAGAGCACCTGATGAACCAACCTGGACACAGCATATTATTTGAAAACACAGAAGTGCTGGACCACTCTCACAACCACCATGTCAGACTACACAGAGAAGCCATTGAAATCCACAAGCATGTGGACAATTTCAACAGAAAGGAAGAAACCATGAAAATGAACAAAATCTGGCTACCAGTATTAAAAAACTCAAAAATTACAACAGCAAAACAACAGAGGGGAAACAAACAGGCACATAAAATCACTCTCAACAAAAGATTCCCCCCAGGCGCTTCCAAGCCAGTGAATGCAAATCAAGGTGATCAGCTGAAACATTCACAGCTAGCCCCAGAAGACAAAAGTCCTTTGTCTCACCCTGGTCATTCCATAGATATATAAACCCATTTTTCCTACTTCCAACAGACCTCACTACCTCTGAGGATGCTTGCCATAGATGCAGGCGAAATCAGGAGAGAATGCCTCTAGAACATGGCCATATAGCTCGGAAAAAACCTACAACAACCCAGACTATCCCATCACTGACAAAGAAACAAGCAGAAATACTGTTTACCCACAAGCATAAAGACATTACATATATAAGAAACCAACACTTTCTCACTACTTTATTTTCCAGATCAACAGACTGGGCCACAACAACGCGTGGCAGGGGACAGCTAGTCTATATAAATAAAAATGTAATGTTCGTTTGTGGGATTAACAGAACTCAAAAACCACTGGACACTAAATTTGGACACAAGATACCTAATAACCCAATGTATCTCCTTCACTCAAAAAAAAAATGATTTTGTCATTTGGGAGTTGTAGTTGCTGGGACTTATAGTTCACCTACAATCAAACAGCATTCTGAACTCCACCGACAATAGAATTGGACCAAACTTGGCACACAGTTCTCCCATGACCAACAGAAAGCAACTGTCCTTTGGTTTTGGAGTTGTAGTTCACCTACATCCAGAGATCACTGTGAACTCAAACAATGATGGATCTGGACCAAACTCTACACGAATACTCAATATGCCCAAATGTGAGCACTGGTAGAGTTTAGGGAAAATAGAATCTTGACATTTGGGAGTTGTAGTTGCTGGGATTTATAGTTCCCCTACAATCACAGAGCATTCTAAACCCCACCAACGATAGAATTGGGCCAAACTTCCCACACAGAACCCCCATGTGGGCCACAGCAACGCGTGGCAGGGGACGGCTAGTAGCATAATAAAATATGGGCTGTTGTAGGTTTTTCCGGGCTATATGGCCATGTTCTGGAGGCAATTTTTCTCCTGACGTTTCGCCTGCATCTATGGCAAGCATCCTCAGAGGTAGTGAGGTCTCACTACCTCACTACCTCTGAGGATGCTTGCCATAGATGCAGGCGAAACGTCAATAGAAAAATTGCCTCCAGAACATGGCCATATAGCCTGGAAAAACCTACAACAACCCAGTGATTCCGGCCATGAAAGCCTTCGAAAATATAATAAAATATGTTTTTTTTAAAAAAAAGAAAAAGAAAAAAAAAGAAGCCACCTTGCCCAGTACGGGTCTCCTCTTCCTTGGGCAGGTCACACTCTCTCAGCCTTAGAGGAAGGCAACTGTCCTCTGAACATATCTTGCCAAGATAAGATTGCCTTAGCATCACCTTTTGTTGGAAATCACTTGAAGGCACACAAATCAACAGGTCCTTTTGCTTACTCTTATGCAGACATACATAGGATTCAATTTTGCATTGTAACCCTTTTGGACCCCTTCTGCACTGCCAAATAAAATGCAGACTATCTGCTTTCAACTGGATTATATGGTGGTGTAGACTGAAGGTCGCAGGTTCGAATCTGGGGAGAGCGCGGATGAGCTCCCTCAGTCAGCTCCGGCTCCCAATGCAGGAACATGAGAGAAGCCTCCCACAAGGGTGGTAAAAACAACCAAAAACCCAAGATGATGGCAACCAGACTGATTGATAACTGGCAAATAGAGGGAGAAAACGTGGAGGCAGTGACAGACTTTGTATTTCTAGGCACAAAGATTACTGCAGATGCAAACTGTAGCCAGGAAATCAGAAGATCTTTACATACCCCAACTACCATCTCCAATGGTTATTCTGGCTGGTGGATTATAAAAGCCATAGCCCAAAAAGTCATTTCCATAAGCTCTGCTTATCACATTCTGCAGTGTTGGACTAATGACCAGGGTCAAATTCCCACTCAGCCATGGAAACTACTCCGGCAAGTCACACTCCCTCAGCCTCAGAGGGAGGCAAAGCCAAACATATCTGAATAAGTCTTTCCAGGAAAACCTGATGATAGGATTGACACAAGCCAGAAATGACTTGAAGGTACACAACAAGCTATATTGGTGGAAGGAGGAGGAAAAGAAATCGGACCTTCCTCTTCTGAGCAACAGTTAGGCTATTTCAGTTGCACAATGTTTCATCTCCCTAATATATGTATTTTAGACACTGCTGTGATTTAAACTTTTGAGCATAGTTAACCTATACATTGTTCATTAGAGGCTAAAATGTTCTCCATGAAAGTTAAAGAAGGCTACATTTACAGCTGTCATAAAGTGATTGTGTACTTATGGGTTTGCACAAACATACATGTGTTTATGTTACCCAGAGAGAGCCAGGTACTGGATATAGATTTAGGAGGATCCTTGTACCTGCGTACAAATCAGGAATATACACAATTACAAAGATTATCACAGACATTTCAAATGTATACAAATGATGTGAATTCATGTACAGTGAGCAAAGAATGTCAACATTGCTGCCTAGAAGTAAAATAAGGTACTGTATATCTCAGTTAATCTATTTATTGTATTGAAAGCGAACCAAGGGCACAATTGTAATGTATTTTAAAAAACAAAGTTTCAAAACTTGGCATTATACTAAATGTCCTTTGACCAGTAGCTGGCCACTTGGAGTGCCTCTGGTGTAATTGTAAGGAGGTCCTCCATTGTGCATGTGGCAGGGCTCAGACTGCATTGCAATAGGTGGTATGTGGTTTGCTCTTCTCTACACTCGCATGTCATGGACTCCACTTTGTGGCCCCATTTCTTAAGGTGACTCTGCATCTCGTGGTGCCAGAATGCAGTCTGTTCAGCTCCTTCCAAGTTGCCCAGTCTTCTATGGTATCAGCCATGGTTTGAGGTTCCAGGTTTTAGCCTGCCACTCTCGCTTGCTGAGGTATTCCTGCAAGTATCTCTGTAGATCTTAGAAAACTATTTCTTGATTTAAGGTGTTGGCGTTCTGACTGATATATAAACAGGAGATGGGCCGGAGATGTCACTGCCTTGGTCCTTTTATTATTGGCTGCTACTTCCCGGCGGATGTCAGGTGGCGTAATACCAGCTAAACAGTATGATTTCCCCAGTGGTGTAGGGCGTAGACATCCTGAAAAAATCATATGAAAGCTGACTGGCACAACCTAGGGATCACAACCAGACACAATGAAGACATCTGGCCTTGCACTTTGCTACTCTGCTGCTGAGATGGAACAC